TAAGATTGTGAGGCATTTCCTATTACAATTAACATGATTCCAGCAATATAGAGAGACCCCCAAACCTCCAACCATGTCTCTCTTGTCGGTAACTTCATAGATTCCGACCATGGCTTCATGTTCATGAAGATTTTCTCCAAGATCATTTGAAGTCTTCAAGAAGTACATACAGATCCTTATCTTCAATTATAATAAGAAACAGCTCATCACTTCTCCATGTCTTGCAAAAGCATGTCATAAACCTTTCCAGTGCAATCCAGGTGAAATATTATCCATAAATAGGGTGATGTAACTATCAGATCGACCATCAAATCTTATTACTGATGTCTTCTTCTCCATTTTGCTTGGCTGAGTTACTAACAGATCGTAGCTAATTTACTTGCATCTTTATCACTTCGTTGTGAGACAAGTATTTTGCTCAATGCTTACAATATCACTCATTATTCGAGATCAATTATCATCGATGGACTGTAGAAGTTTGAAATGTCGTCTTATATATATTTCAATTTGATTATTTTTTCGCTTATAAAATCCAAACATATTTATATTTACAAATTTTTATTTTTATAATTTATATATGTTTGAATTCTCCACATGTAAGTTAACTATTTATACAATAAACTAATCATCTAAGCATCGCTAAAGTTTATCTACGTTAGGGCATGGTGGATATATTACTAAATTGCGGTTGTAATTATGGTGTCACAGTTGTGGATGTTGCAGACTTTACATGATTTATTTCTTAAAAATAATTATATTTTTACGTTGCATATGTGATTTGCAATGTTACAGTGGTTTTAAAAATGTTACGATACGTCGGTTACACTACGGTCATAAGGATTGTGGTGTTAGGCTATATCCATGCAAAATATTTCCGCTGCTTTCATGCACTTTGTATCCTTGTCTAAACAGAAACTAAACCTTTTCTTTATTTTGCAATAAAACTGGGAAGTGAAATGCTGATAAGAATCAGGGGCAAATTTCAACACAAACCAAACAGGTTTTGCAATAGAAGTGGAACTGAAATGCTGAACGGATTTGTTTTACAGATCCTTGTCTAAACTAATACAAGAAGCTGGTAGTGAAAAAACACGAACAATCCACTTAAGGGAGAAGCATGAGCAACACAGTCGATGGATTTGTCAAATCTCGAAAAGTTGAACTTGTTGAGCTGCTGCTTTAACATCATCATCCCAGTTGGTAGATTTAGAGTACCAAGCATAAAGAATGAGCTGCACCAGCACTGATAGGGTCCCCAACCCATTCGGAACCTATGATTGTACACAAGAAAGTGAGTGTCCCATTATATATAACATATGTAAGTAGGGAGCGAAATAGGAATTTATGTTTGTAGAAACGAACATCCAAAATTTTAGGGTAAACTACAAGTTTAGTACTTAAATTATTTCTTTTGTTATATTTTGGTACCCAAACTTTATTTTTTCCAAAATTATACCTAACATTTAGTTTAGGTTTCAATTTAGTACTCCACCGTTAAAAAATTAACAGAATTATTGACATGACATTTTTTACTTTGTTTTTTCTTGATGACATGCCATTACCCAGGAATTATGAGGGGGTAAGTTGTTTAACTTCAAAATGAAAAGGCTCCTAAAAAGTATTAAACCATAAAATTAACATATTAAGGGTTTAATTTCATTAATTTAAAATTCAGAGGTCTTATAATATGATTAAAACAGAAATAATTGGGATTAAGACTTTATTTCATTAATTTTAAAACTAATAGTGTCCTAAAAAATAATTATACTAGAAAATTTTGGGAGGGGCAAGGACTTAATTGCAATGGTTTCAAAACTACTAGTTGCTTAAGAGGTAATTAGACCATCAAAGTTTGGGGGGTCATTGCCCCTCCCATCTATAAAAATGATCTGTCTCCGTCATTACCTTATAGTGACACATCAACATCACTATTAAGTTGTTAATGGTGGGGTACCAAATTGAAACATAAATTAAACGTTGGAAATGATTTTGAAAAAAATAAAGTTTAGGTATCAAAATGAAACAATAGTGATAATTTAAGTACTAAACATGTAATTTACCAAAAATTTTAAGAACTAAAGTATTTACAAAATTCTAATTTAACAAAATTAAATTACCGATAGAAAATATCTAAAATATACAATAATTTAAAAATTTCAAGAGTCGTTTGTTTATCCTCAGTCCATCCTTAGATGTGATGTGAGAAAATAACATAACCCTAGAATAAAGGGAAGGGAAGAGAGTTACAAAGACGTTAATATCAAATTTGAGTAATAGCATAGCCCTAGAATAAAGGGAAGGGAAGAGAGTTACCAAGACGTTAATATCAGATTTGAGTAATGCATAAGCCGTCCAAACAATCCCATTCAAGAAGTTAAAAAGTGAGAGATAGAACGGCATGTACTTGACGCTCTTTGTCCTGATCACCATACGCTGCCAAAAACGTCAACAGATCATTACATATGAAAAGAGCAAGGCATGGATCTAATTAGCATTTGCGGTCACGCTTTTTATCTCGTCGTGTTTATTGCGATTACGGACATAACGGATATCATTACGGTTACTATGGGTGTAGCGATCGTAAACTTTTTTAAATTTCACACATTATTCTAAAACATATTAATTATAATTATAAAGACGGCGATACTACTGCGAAATGACAGCCTCTATAGTGTTCTTATTTCGCTATTTGAAACCTTGGAGCAAGGTACGTAGAGTTTGCAGCAAAGGAATAAAAGCAAATTAAGAACACGTACCATGGCCGTCAATGGTGAGAAATACATTCCTATATTGAAGATCATGGCCATTATTCCCACGAACATGGACCTTTTTTTGGTGGCTTTGAACATCGTCAAGGTAATTTCAACTACTGCTGCCATGAAGATGATTTCGAGTACAAGATATAGCATGATTCTCTTCTGCAAACAAAATGATAAGCAAGTAAACATTTACTATATCGATATCTTAAATACATAACGATGAAATTATTCTTAACATTTGTATAAATGGTCACTTTTATCGTATACTTTTTTTTAGTATTTTAACACTCAACATTTTAAATTTTGGTTAAAATATCACTATTGAAAGTAAATTATTAATCGACAGACGATCAACATATATTAATGATATATTCTATTAGAGTTGTGACCCAATTCCTTCTTGGACATGGCCATGAAATTATAATCAAAACAGTAGTCAAAAATCAAGAAAGAAAATTCAGTTAGAGTAGTATTCTTCTTATGCAAGTTTCCTTTGTTTCTTATCTCTATAAATAGAAATTAGAAAATAGGGTTTAGATTGAGGAACAGTTGTCATAAATCTTATACTTTTCGACATAATGAAATTTTATTCTTCTCTACCTATGTTTTTTTCCCTGGGTTTTTTAATCTTGGTGTTCTTTATATTTTCTTTTTTGATCGTTTTTATTTGTCGTTAACTGATTTAATAACTACAAAATGATATTTTTACATGTGTTTAATTATTGATGTGACACATATTACGTTACGATTATAGGTGAAGTGCCACATTTCATGCCGGTAAATTTGGGTAACATTACACGTATCACATCAATAATTAAGCATATGTGAAAATGATACATCCGTAATATGTGTTGATCGTTAATTAACTAAAAATATATTTAGATATTTTAATAAAAATTAAAACGTTAAGAGTTAAAATACTTCTAGAAATAATAATAAAAAAAAAGATTATTTATGCAAACGATGCGAGAAATACGATCAAAGTCCATGAAAAGCATGGAAAATGGTGAAAGAAAGATACTAACTCGCTTCCTATTGTCGGAGTAGATAAAGAAGATGGTTATGAAGACGAGCTCAATGCAGAGACCAATTCCATTGATGGTAATGATCAAAGTGCTCTCGGGATGGACAGTGGGTAGACCATAGCATCATGCAGTTCAACACTGTTGCTATATATGGAGCTGGCTTGAAGTCTTGCACTGATTTCATTTTCCATATTTTAATGAACGTTGGGCTACATGTAAAAATAAAAATAAAAATGAGAATAAAAACAAAGTCAAAACAATTAAAAAGGGTAAATACACAAATAATTAATCGATTATAGACATTGTTTTGTTGAATCCATTGACTATTAAAATTACAAAATGATCCCTCAACTATAGGAGGTTGTTTTATTTAGTCATCTGACTATTAAAAGTTATAAAATGATCATCTTACTGTTCATATGTTCTAAGCTCATCTTTTTTCATTAAAAATTGACGGCTGTCAAAGCTGGACGTTAACCTATTGATTGAATTTTCATCATATCTCAATCAGTAGGTTAATGTCCAACTCTGACGTCTATCAAATTTTTAACAGAAAATGACGAATTTGAAACATATGAATAGCTGAGTGACCATTTAATAACTTTAAATAGTTGAAGACTCAACAAAACAATGTCCTATAATCAAAAACCATTTTATAACTTTTAATAGTCAGGTAACTCAATAAATCAAAGTTAAATGCATCCATTTGATAAGTTAGGGGCCTACGGGGGGGGGAGAGAAACAAGAAGAAGGAAATAATAAAGATAAGATTAATGTTGAAATACCAGTTGAAATACAATCGTCACCAGTTTTGATATTTATGTTTATAATTTTAACCCCATCTGATCTCCCGATGTGAATCCCATCTGTGTTTGGGCTATCTTCAGGTGCAGACACAGTGACGCTTTCAAAAGTAAACTTTGGTATGTATGACATCTCGTGTATTTTTATATAGCTTTAATGATGATTGCTTAATGTTTTTACTTGAAATAAAAATAGATATCGTGTATATGCACATGCATTGCAAACATCCAAAGCGAATAAGTCAAAATGCTTAAAATGTTACCACATACGTTTTATTTCTTTTTCTATTAAAGTATATTTTTCTTTAAAAAAACATATCTAATATGAAAATTTCTTATTAACTTAGAACTAAAATGAAATGGATGCATCCATATAAAGTGAAAAGAAACATGAGTTACAGCCACTTCGTTATTTATTGCAGGCCAACATTTAAACCGAGGGTAGGGTTTGCTGGTACGGGAGTAGAACATGCTACCGGATTTTGTTTGCCAGTAATTTTTGGTGTAACATTTTTACATTCGGATTTGGCAGGTCCATTCGGTCCACTAAACGTAATGTCAATGTCGGCGAGTTCTACATTTTTGCATGGAAAAGTACCACTGCAAACGAGTTTGACAACCTCCGAAAGCGCAGCCGTACCATGAATGTTCTTGAAGCTGATGTTGCTTAGTTTCACATTGATTCTTCCTGCAAGATCAATGTACTAGTTAGATGATTGATTAACTATTTTCATTTATTGGGTTATTGATAAGTATGTACATACGTTCATTTTGCATTTATTCCATGGGCAGTATTTCTGGTCAATTAGGACGGGGCAACTAACATTGTTCACGGTGATATCCTCAAAATGCATATCCGAGCAGTACCAGGAAATTGACCTGCCCAAGTCTTGATTCTAACACCATTCGAAGTATTAGTCAGGGTGCACTTGGATACTTTAATTCCTTCAATGGTTCTTCATTTGCATAATTTCCAAGACTACCGATACTGATGCCGTGTCGGGTCCACAAGTTACTCCTGTGATGTCCAGATTTTTGGAACCATCCCCAATTGAAATACAATCGTCGCCAGTTTTGATATTTGTGTTGATAATTTTAACCCCGTCTGATCTCCCGATGTGAATCCCATGTGTTTGGGCTATCTTCAGGTGCAGATACAGTGACACTTTCGAAAGTAATGTTTTTTGCATCCCAAAACATTTGCGTGGAACTGTTGCTATCTCTGATAGTTATATCTTGTATCATTGGCATGGTCAAATAATCAAACCTGATATTCTGTTTAATTTCGGAGTTAAAAGAGTCACGAGAAACAATATGAGCATTAGTTATAATATTAAAAATAATATCAAATTCTTGTGAAAGGTAAGAAACCTTACGAGGGGAGGTTACTACAGAAGTCGTGTTTTCGCAACCTTCTCGCTTATAAGCAGCGGTCCCTTGTCCATCGAAAGCTCCTCCACCAAACAATTTAAAGTTCTCAACATGAAGAAAGCTAACCCATTTAGGCTCCTTGAAAGCTTTAGGATCAGCTGGTGCTTTTATATTGCCCTGAACTTGAAGCTCTATAGGAGCCTTGCAAGGACCTTCCAGGGTTGCTTGACTTAATAAATATGTACCTTTAGGAATCACAATTGTTGATGGAGTTGGCGAAGCACATGCTTCTTTCCAAGCATCCAACAATGGCTAAAACAAAATAGATTAATAAAGAAGTTATACATGTTTTTCACGTTAGAGTATTAAAGCGAGCTATAATTTCGCTTACCTTACTCAAATCCGTATTCAAGTCATCCTTTGCGCCAAACTTAGCTACGACATCAAGAGCACCTAGTTGAGCTTCCATGGTTGTAAAGAATAAATTTATTATAGACATTGTACAAACAACAATAAAATTTATTGCCATATCTTTATTTTATTTTCACTTGAAGGTAGAATGGTTTTCCTTTTCTTTACTTTCAATATATAGAGATGGTTGGGAAAATTACAACCAACCAAAATTTTCAATCAACCTTTTCTAATTTAAGTGTCGTGCGCAATTATATGGGTAGAATTTACTTTCTATGATTACATTGTGTTTATTTTAACATCTGTCATTGCTGGATAAATTTTGGCTAGTTTGTTTGCAAACTTTAATCATGTAAATTAAATTAAAGTGTTTATCAATATAAATTAAAATTGTTTGTTTATAAAACTATTTTTAGTTTGAAGTATATCTCGCACTCCTAAAGACTTCGAAACTTAATCATCTATAAAAGAAAGTGAAAATTAGTTCCTATAGGTGTTTGCTTTAAAATCTTCAATCCACTTAGTGATTGTGTTAAATCAAAATGCTAAACTTTGATTACATGGAATAGACATTACCACTGTATGGCGAAGTAAGTTTAAAACGTCCAATTGCACACTCCAATTTGAAAAATTACCTAATTTCATAAAAGTAAAATTAGAATGACTATATTTAAAATGCACGAAGAGTACAAGAACTTACAACATACTGTAACCTCTTCCATAAATATATACTAGATAATTATACATTTTTAAGGCGATAATGACATCAATGTGATGAGTGTTTTAATTTGTACATATTTTGTTGATAATTATTCCTCATTGTTTATTTTACGCTACTGATTTTGGTTGTTTTGATTCAATTTTTGTGTGCGGGAGATTATTTTCTGGAAACAACATTAAAAGGGACGAGTTCTGCTTTTTATTATTATTTCTGGAAACATGGTTGGAAACATGACGTGATTACTTCTCACGAGATAGTTTCTAGAAACTCCAATCAGCAGCAAGAGCAATCTCTAGAAGGTCCAGTAAGCACTCTCTAGAAGGTGGACGGGCAGAGTTATCTTAGAAGTAGTTGTTTTAGGAAATTAAGTTTGAATTGAAAACATTTTAGGATTTATCTTTAGGATATTTTTATTTTGAATTTGCATGTGGTTTTAGGAAATTTGAGGCTATAAATATCCTTTAGGGTCAAGCTTGGACATGAACTTCTTTCTCTTTTGGTTTTATAAATTCTCTCGGGTTTTATTTTATTTTCTTCATCTTTATATTTTAGTTTTTACTTTCTTTTCAAAAAATTCCAAAGTAAGATTTTTATCATACTTAGCTAAAATTTTAATTAGCCAAATGCTTAGCGATGACTCAATCCCGTTTGTGAGAATTAAAAAAAACTTAACATCTTCGGATAACGTTCTCGGTTTTCTGAAATCTTGATTTGGTAATCGACCTTTTCTTTAAAATCTTTACACTTTTTTCAAAAAGTGCACGTTGGCTTGAATGCTTTTTGGATTTATAGTTTGGGAGGAAGAATCGGTTGGTCGTAATTCAACTTCCTAGGAACAAAATTAGCGGCGGTCTGCTAAGGCGAATCGAGATCGGATTGGACTCTTGTTGAGACATCATAATCGGAGCATGGGCTTTTCTAGAGCTTAAAGCTTCATTGTTACTAACAGCGATAGTCGTGGCTAGTTCAAGTAAGAACTAAATTCTGGAGATAGACTTGAGAATATTCGTTTTACCGGAGAGAAAAATAAGATACAAGTGTTGGGCCTTGTAGGATGCAACCGACGTGTATTCAGAGTAAATCTATTTCGATGATCAATGGAATTGAGGCGACGCAAAGCCCGAGGCTATTTTACTCATTTGATTTCTTTAAGGGTTTACTATATTTCAGTTTTCTATCTTTCAATTCTTAAATCTCTCGTTTCAATGATAAAACCCCCTTTTTTCTTTTCATTATTTTTCGTCTCAGAATCAAGACAATCCGAAGTCAGAGGCTGCAAAGTTCCTATGGATCGTCCCTTCTTCTCTTTACTACGCTTTATTTCATTTGTTTATTTGAGAATAAGGAATTTTATTGACAATTACGATGCTTGTCACAATGCTACAAATTTGTTAGAAAAAGTTTTTATGAGGCCTTTTTTCCACTTATTTTATGGTAAGATATTTCAAATACGACTTTCATAAACTAATAATATTTATAGGATATCCCAAAAAATTCAATATTAATTTATAAAATGAAGTGAAGAAATATATGCAAAATATAACTAATTTCTTTAGAAGTTAAAATGTTGGAAAACAAGAGCCATTTTTGTAAAAATATTTTTTTTTCAAAATTAGATAATATATTTGAAATATAATATTTAGTTCTTTTTTAAAAAATTAATATTAAAAAATTGGAATTAACTTTTTTACATTTAATTCAAAAATGAATAGTTGAGTTGACAAATTTTAATATTCTCAAACCATATTTTGCTTTATGGAATGCACATGTAGAGTAAACCAAACTCTAATCTCTAGGCTAAAAATTATGTATTTCGTTTTCTGAAAGATAATGTTCAGAATAAATTTTCAAGAAAAAAACTATTCTGACTCACACCCGAAGTAAGCGTTAGAGTAGGAAGTCTTCTAGACATCAATATTTTATTGGAATTTTGAAACAGATAAAATAAAAATTTGAATAAGTAAACTTTGGTATGTACGACATCTCGTGTATTTTATATAGCTTTAATGATGATTGCTTAATGTTTTTCTTGAAATAAAAATAGATATCGTGTATACGCACATGCATTGCAAACATCCAAAGCGAATAAGTCAAAATGCTTAAAATGTTACCACATACGTTTTATTTCTTTTTCTATTAAAGTATATTTTTCTTAAAAAAACAAATCTAATATGCAATTTCTTATTAACTTAGAACTAAAATGAAATGGATGCATCCATATAAAGTGAAAAGAAACATGAGTTACAGCCACTTCGTTATTTTATTACAGGCCAACATTTAAACCGTAGGGGTAGGGTTTGCTGGTACGGGAGTAGAACATGCTACCGGATTCTGTTTGCCAGTAATTTTGGTGTAACATTTTTACATTCGGATTTGGCAGGTCCATTCGGTCCACTAAACGTAATGTCAATGTCGGCGAGTTCTACATTTTCGCATGGAAAAGTACCACTGCAAACGAGTTGACAACCTCCGGAAGCGCAGCCGTACCATGAATGTTCTTGAAGCTGATGTTGCTTAGTTTCACATTGATTCTTCCTGCAAGATCAATGTACTAGTTAGATGATTGATTAACTATTTTCATTGTATTGGGTTATGATAAGTATGTACATACGTTCATTTTGCATTTATTCCATGGGCAGTATTTCTGGTCAATTAGGACGGGGCAACTAACATTGTTCACGGTGATATCCTCAAAATGCATATCCGATGCAGTACCAGGAAATTGACTGCCAAGTCTTGATTCTAACACCATTCGAAGTATTAGTCAGGGTGCACTTGGATACTTTAATTCCTTCAACTGGTTCTTCATTTGCATAATTTCCAAGACTACCGATACTGATGCCGTGTCCGGGTCCACAAGTTACTCCTGTGATGTCCAGATTTTTGGAACCATCCCCAATTGAAATACAATCGTCGCCAGTTTTGATATTTGTGTTGATAATTTTAACCCGTCTGATCTCCCGATGTGAATCCCATCTGTGTTTGGGCTATCTTCAGGTGCAGATACAGTGACACTTTCGAAAGTAATGTTTTGCATCCCAAAACATTTGCGTGGAACTGTTTGCTATCTCTGATAGTTATATCTTGTATCATTGCATTGGTCAAATAATCAAACCTGATATTCTGTTTAATTTCGGAGTTAAAAGAGTCACGAGAAACAAATATGAGCATTAGTTATAACTATTAAAAATAATATCAAATTCTTGTGAAAGGTAAGAAACCTTACGATGGGGAGGTTACTACAGAAGTCGTGTTTTTCGCAACCTTCTCGCTTATAAGCAGCGGTCCCTTGTCCATCGAAAGCTCCTCCACCAAACAATTTAAAGTTCTCAACATGAAGAAAGCTAACCCATTTAGGCTCCTTGAAAGCTTTAGGATCAGCTGGTGCTTTTATATTGCCCTGAACTTGAAGCTCTATAGGAGCCTTGCAAGGACCTTCCAGGGTTGCTTGACTTAATAAATATGTACCTTTAGGAATCACAATTGTTGATGGAGTTGGCGAAGCACATGCTTCTTTCCAAGCATCCAACAATGGCTAAAACAAAATAGATTAATAAAGAAGTTATACATGTTTTTCACGTTAGAGTATTAAAGCGAGCTATAATTTCGCTTACCTTACTCAAATCCGTATTCAAGTCATCCTTTGCGCCAAACTTAGCTACGACATCAAGAGCACCTAGTTGAGCTTCCATGGTTGTAAAGAATAAATTTAATATAGACATTGTACAAACAACAATAAAATTTATTGCCATATCTTTATTTTATTTTCACTTGAAGGTAGAATGGTTTTCCTTTTCTTTACTTTCAAATATATAGAGATGGTTGGGAAAATTACAACCAACCAAAATTTTCAATCAAACCTTTTCTAATTTAAGTGTCGTGCGCAAATTTATGGGTAGAATTTACTTTCTATGATTACATTGTGTTTATTTTACACATCTGTCATTGCTGGATAAATTTTTGGCTAGTTTGTTTGCAAACTTTAATCATGTAAATTAAATTAAAGTGTTTTATCAATATAAATTAAAATTGTTTGTTTATAAAACTATTTTTAGTTTTGAAGTATATCTCGCACTCCTAAAGACTTCGAAACTTAATCATCTATAAAAGAAAGTGAAAATTAGTTCCTATAGGTGTTTGCTTTAAAATCTTCAATCCACTTAGTGATTGTGTTAAATCAAAATGCTAAACTTTGATTACATGGAATAGACATTACCACATGTATGGCGAAGTAAAGTTTAAAACGTCCAATTGCACACTCCAATTTGAAAAATTACCTAATTTCATAAAGTAAAATTAGAATGACTATATTTAAAATGCACGAAGAGTACAAGAACTTACAACATACTGTAACC